GCAGCTGGGGAACGGTCGACCCCTCAGGCTCCAAAACCCAAGCCAGCCAAGCACTCAGATGCAACGCGGGAGCAATGCATGCAGCAAGGTTTGTGCCTGAAGTGTGGGGAACAGGGCCACTTCGCGGCTGACTGTGGAGGCCCAGGGCAACGGGAGAAACCTGAAGGAGCTAAAGTGCGCCCATCCACCCCTGTGAAGAAACCAACAGGAAAGCCGAAACTTGCGAAGGCCCTACAAGCTTCTCCTGAGGAGGATAATGGGGAATCGAGCGGAGAGGACCTAGAGCCGGCGGGAAATGGATCGGTCCTGCTGTAGATGGTGCAGAGCATCAGGGCCCGCAACCGGAGGCGCCAAACCTGGTGAGCAATTACCCCTCCCTCTTTTCGTGACTGTCTTGTTGATTAACCCGGCTCTCGGAACCCTCCTCCGGGCGAGAGCTCTTATTGACTCGGGGTGCGGGAGAGACTTGATCAACCCCTCTTTGGTCACAGGACTAGAAGCTGGGGTGGTAAAATTGAAAGAACCCCTGATCTTCACCCAAATGGATGGGTCTACTATGAAAGACCCATGTGAGTACGAAACAGTGCCTTTGCGAATGGGGGCGTGGGACCACTGGGAAGCTCAAACCTTTGTAATCACTTCGATGGCATGATTTCCCCTCGTATTGGGGGGCCCCTGGCTGCATGGGCACGACCCTTACATACTGTGGGAAGAGGGGAGGGTGCAAGTCATTTCACCCAGATGCCATGAGCACCGCTGGGACACTAAGTGGGGCAAGAAACCCCCTCTCGAAACCCTGGGAGCGTGCTTAGTCCAAGAGGAACTACTCTCCATTCCTCCTGAATATCGGGACTTGGCTAGGGTTTTTGAGGAGGAGGAGGAGTTGCCCCCACATAGACACTCAGACTGCAGCATTGAAATCTTGCCGGGGCACAAACTACCTAAGGGGCGGATCTATGCAATGGGGCCGGCTGAGAAGGATGAACTCCGAAAGTTCATTGATAAAAACTTGGCAAGGGGTTTCATCAGGCCGGCCTCGTCCCCCTACGCAGCTCCCGTGCTCCTCTGGAAGAAAAAGGACGGTGGGTTGCGGCTCTGCACGGATTACCAGAGTCTAAATGCAGTGTCCTCCAACAATACCTACCCTATGCCTTTAATTAAAGATTTACTAGCCGAGGCGGCTAAAGGGAAAATCTTTTCTAAGTTGGACCTCAGAGACGCATACTTTCGGGTGCGCATCAAGGAAGGAGACGAGCCGAAAACCGCGTTCAACACTCCCCTTGGCCAGTTCGAGTACCTCGTGATGCCATTTGGCCTTCAAGGGGCCCCGGGGGTCTTCATGAACCTTATAAATGAGGTGTTACACAAACACTTGTTTAAAAGGGTGCTCGTTTACCTTGATGATATCCTCCTGTATTCCCCCGATGTCCCCTCACATGTGAAACTAGTGAGGGAGGTGATAAGTACGTTGCACAAACACAAACTGTTTGCAAAACTGTCCAAATGTGAATTTCACAAGACACACATTGACTTTTTGGGCTACCGCATTTCCAACCAGGGACTGGAAATGGACCCGGGGAAGGTCCGAGATGTCTTGGGGTAGGAGGTACCCCGGACCAGACGACAATTACAATCCTTCCTCGGTTTTGCGAACTTTTATAGTTCCTTTTTGCCCAACTTTGCTCAAATCAGCCTCCCCCTCACGGACCTCTTAAAAACAAAAGGAAAAGGTCCGGATGCCACCCGGTCTGGCGCTACGCTTCCATGGACTGCAGAATGTCAGGAAGCATTCATGCGCTTGAAGGCCCTGGCCCACCCCGATGAATCGAAAAAGTTCATTGTACAAACTGACGCTTCTGACGTAGCAATGGGGGGGGCATCTTACAAGAGGGGGAGGATGGACTGTTGCACCCGTTAGCTTACATGTCTAAAAACACAGAGAAGAATTGGTCACTATGGGAAAAGGAAGCGGGGGCAATAAAACTGGCGCTTTCTACGTGGAGACATTGGCTGGAGGGGGCTAGGGTCCCATTCGAGGTGTGGACGGATCATAAGAACTTAGAGACTCTCAAAACGCCCCAGTGCCTGAACGCTAAACAGCTTAGGTTGGCAGACTTCTTTTCTAAGTTCCAGTTCACCCTTCATTTCCCTGGCTCGGCAAATTCGTTGGCTGACGCGCTCTCGCGCCTCCCCCAACTTGACAGTCAAAAGGAGGTGATTCTCAATTCGGTGTTCACCCCCTCCCACCTGGGCGTTGCGGTGATGACTCGCAGCCAGGCCCACTTCAACCCGCCTCCTCTATCCTCACAGCCTCCTGACCCTCCAACGTCAAAGGGAGGCCCCCCGATGGCTTGGGTTGACAAGTTCAACTCCGCATTTTTGAAGGCGGACCGAGAACTGCTGGAGGGAGTGGGCGATTGCGTGCAAAGGGAAAACGGCTGCTGGTATCATGGACATAAATTGTATGTTCCCCAACTGCTCAGGGGGGAAGTATTGTAGTCGGTTCATGGCTCGAAGTTGGCGGGCCACTCCAGTTTCGTAAAATCTCTTCAACTACTGCAGAGACAGTTCTGGTGGCCACACATGCGGAAAGATCTATCTTCATTCAATCATGCCAAGTTTGCACCATAAGTAAGCCTTGTCCCGGAAAAGCCCCGGGGCTCTTACAGCCCCTCCCCACCCCAAGCTGACCCTAGGAAGTTATTTCCATGGATTTCATAACAAATTTGCCACCCAGCAAATCTATGACTGTGATTTGGGTGGTGGTGGACTTCTTTTCCAAGCAGGCACATTTCATTCCCTTTGCTTCTCTACCCACGGCCAAAGCCCTTGCTAAGGCAT